CTATCATCAAGTGGCTGGTATAATTTGAAAGATCAAGACTGTTATCAGAGATATCGGAATATTATCGGTATCGGCAGATATCCAAATTTAGTTATCGGAATCGGATCGGAAGTGAAAATATGTGTATCGGTGCATCCCTACTTTGAACCTTAAGTTGGCAAACTAATGCAATTTTTAATGTGTTGTGTTTTTCCTTACTCCTCCAGGTGACATGACACAGATCTGTGGCGTCACGGTAGAGCCAGTGTCTCGCAGACGCAGGCTTCTCCCAGAGTCGCTGGAAGTGTGTCTGAAAGCAGTGCTGCAGGGCTGGGATGCCTCTTCTCTGACGCAGAGCTCCACAGAGTCGTGGCTGCTTCAGTGCTCCAGCGGCAGTGAGGAGCGAGGAGCTGCTGCTGCCCTCCAGCACCTTCTGATGGAGCTGTCTGCTCGTGCTCTACACATGGTGAGATCACAGGGCTGTTGCCCACAAGTGTGATCTCTATACACAGATCTATGCATATGAATAATAGATCTTTCTTTAACATACTAAATATAAATCATACATATTGGCTCTATGGATCACTAGTCCTTTGTTTTGCTTTAGACAAATTACAGAAAATATTTGTTACAGTATGGTAATTGTAATTTCCCGGCCTTACCAATACAGGACTGAAACAATCAATAAATAACATCCTGTTTGACACAAGGACAAGTTGAAGTACAAATTGTACTGAATCTTTGTTTGATTTCAACACATCATCTCACAATAACTATGATTTAAAGGGTGTAGAGATACCGGGGTTGGGAGCAGGTTGTACACAAATCTTGTTATGAAACTTTCATCTGTGGGCATTTACTAATTCTCTTTTTTCCTCTTCTTGCATATATTGCTTGTTCTTCCAGCTGTCTGAGGTGAAAGACAGCGGCCTGGTGTATTCGGCTGTCCTCTCCCCCCTGTCGCACACTACAGCTCTGCTCACCATCCTCCAGTCTGGAGTCGCCCAGAACGAGCAGATCCTACCCAGCGAAATCATTGCCCCTGCCACATCAGAAACATCTGCTGATTTGCCTGATGTTGTGAGCAGCGTCCTGGGAGTAGTGTATGACATCATGGAGGAGGATGGAGACACTGTTGAAGGTAAGGATTAGGGATGGGTACCGAGCCCCGGTATTAAACGGGCCCCGGGTCTGAATTATTAAAGACCGTGGTACCGTTAAGCTCTAACGTTATTGGTCTTTTAATCGGCACTGGAGCCATCTAAAAAATATGTCATGTGTATTATTGCTACACAAACATTATATTGCAGTTTTAGTGTCGCCAACTCCATTTCTAACACGCAAAAAGACTGCAAAATGCTTCTATGATTATTTTTAGTATTTTCGATCTCTCTCCCCCGCCTGCTTGCGAGGGGGCGGGGCAGCTTACACACACGCAGCTGCTACATGCAGCAACACACACACGGAGGAGATGGCGGAGAGAACGCGCTCCGAGGTGTGGTTCAACTTTACCCGTCTCGATCTGGACAATGCTCGTTACCTAAAGTGCAATAAGAGTTTAACATGTAAGGGCGTTAACACAAGCAATTTGTCTAAACATTTAGCAAAAGTGCTCCACATCCAGACGGAGGAATGCACCGACTGTCTTTCTGGTAGCTCTGTAGCCCCATCCACGAGTAACGTTTCCACGTCAGGTGTTATTTATGCTAGCAGCAACACACAGAGTTAACTCAGTTATAAAAACATGGGTTAATGATTAGAGGTAACTGAGTTATTTATTTTGTTAAAGTTTCAGCTATTCTGTTTACAATTCTGTCATCAGATTATTTA